ACCTTTATGTGAATCGGCTTGCTTTAATTTAATTTTTATTAATTTTTATTTGAATTTTTCAATCTTTTTCGTCGCGCTGTGATGACGTCAAAGGCGCGATTTTGTCAATCGCGCTTTTGTCGTCCGCGATTTTGACGGGTCACGGACTGATTATAGTAGAGAAAGAAAGAAAATGGTTTTGCTGAGCAAGTCGCTTCTCTGATATTTTAACCTATTTATGCTGAACAATGAAAGTGATATTAGGTTCCTATTTTGTGTTTTGAGGAAACAATCATGACTAGGGGGGGGGGAACTGGAAAGTATGTGGTTATGCAAAAAGAAAAGTTTTCGTAAGGGGTATATGTGTTACAATTTTGAAACCTGTGAAGAAATTTACGGTTCTGGGAAAAAGATTAGCAAACACATTCTTGTAAAAAGCTTTTTGTACAGTGAATGTACTTCAAGCTTATGCTATAATCCATGAGCCTTTGTGTTGGAACAAAAATTCTTTATTGCTATTTATCCCCTCTGCTTCTTTGATTCATTCAACGGCCTGGAAATTTAATTCCTTGCAGTACAATGTGTTGCAGTTGGGCACATTTGAACCTAACATGTTGGTTTATCCCTTCTTCCTTTCTGAAGCTTTTTGGCGACTGGGAATCACACATGAGAAGGATCATGAAGCTGCTTGCCGGGGGCGGGCTGTCAATCACAGGAGCCCATGACATGTGCGGTGACTACCTATACAGCGGCCATACGGTGATGTTAACTCTGACATACTTATTTATCAAAGAGTGTAAGTGCCGCCATTATACGATAGAACAATATATGTTATTCGATTAATTGGGATCACCCACGTGCATCCATTCACAAAGCTTTATACCTTTATTATATGTTTTTTTAAAGAAGTATCTTTTAGGGTGTAACTCTCCCCAAAATAAAGCAACTTTATTAGTAGAAATTAGATTAATGTAACCACAAAGATCAAGCTGTGCTATAGATTAAACATTTATATTTAAATTACATAAATTAGCAATCCAATTATTGCTGCATCTATCTGACTTCTTAAAATGTCAGTCACGATAGCACTCTCTACAGCGTGAGCCATGCTTGCATTTAAAATGAAATGCTTATAAGTTAAATATCTATTTTTAGGTGTAATTACATATTCATAATAAATGAGCCATTAATGCTGAAAATATTCAGTTCATCCTTACGATTTTTTAATATCAAAAATTATATCAATTGGTAATAGCATTCCAGTAAGAGGGAACTTTAATATTTCTCGGGGGTAATAGGAATGAGAGATTAATCCTTTCTTTTACCCTTAGAAAGTCCATTTCATCCACCCAGTTTGATCCTGATACTGTTCCAAACTTTGCAAACTTCAATTTGAAATGCTACTGAGATTCAACTCGTGGAAAAGTTTTTTTAGACAAAAGTTATACTCTATTCTTTTCGACCTTTGTCAGTAACACAGCATGGCAGGGCCTTAGAAGCTATAGCCCTTGTTATGAGAACATAAATTGGCAGAGAATAGAAGGCAGCACAAATATCTTAATTACTGTTTTCTTTTAAAAAAATAACCAATTTCGTTGTATTTAAGAACAATGACAGTAAAGATTATACTTACGTGGTTACCTGTTGGCCAACTAGACTGAAACCTGTTCACTTAAAAAAAAATGACTTTCCCCCCCACTGTAGGATAAAATGCAAAATGGTGCTGATTTACAAATTGCTTGTATGTTAAAGTTATTCATATACCAGCCATCTCAACTAGGTTGGGGAAATATCTGGGTTTGGAAATAGAGAATTTGCAATCTAATGCTTGGATTATGAAAAAGCAAGATAACACCGTAATGGCATTAAAAAGTACATATCTTCAGTTGAGATCTCATTTGAATGGTGACAGTTTTCTCCAAAACACTGCATGTTTCTCAAAGTGGATTTAGGATCATTTCAGGTTGTGGAAATCATAGAATCATATGATTGGGAAGATGTCCTTTTAGTCCAATCCTATGCATATGGCAGGAATGTCACACTAGCTCCAATTAATGGCTCTCCAATTTTTGCTTAAAATACCTCCCACAATGGAGCACTTATGGCTCCAGATGGCAAGTATTTTATTGCTTAATAAAGAGGTGGGGAACTTGTGGACTTCAACTCCCAGAATTCCTGAGCCAGAATGAGCCATAGTTCCCCACTCCTGGCTTAATAACTCCCACATTCAGCGAATTCTTCCTTCATTTGATTTTGAATCTCCCTCTACAAAGCAGCTACCCATCGGAGCTACAAAGAATTAGTGCCGACCATCTCCCTTATGATAGCCCCTCAAGTATATGAAGACTGCTGTTATGTCCCTTGCTTTTCTGCACATGACTTGCGATAAGCACTAAGACTTATATACCACTTCATAGTGCTTTACAGCCCTTTACAGAATCAGGATATTTCCCCCAACAATCTGGGTCCTCATTTTATCGACCTCGAAAGGATGGAAGGCTGAGTAACCTTGAGCCAGTCAGGATCGAACTCCTGGCAGTGGAATGCAGCGTCAGCCTGCAATATTACATCTCTAACCACTGCGCCACCACGGCTCACCCAGTTCTACTTGGGAATGATCTTGTTTTTCAGAATAGCAGGCACTGTAATTTCTGGGCATGAAGATATTTTGTGTTTGAAGAGTTCACGAATTAAGGCCCCTGTGTTTTTCCTTATTTTCAGATTCACCTCGGCGATTGTGGTGGTATCATTGGATTTGCTGGGCTCTCAGCATAGTTGGGATGTTCTGTATTCTTTTAGCTCATGATCACTACACTGTGGATGTGGTGGTGGCTTACTACATCACTACAAGACTTTTCTGGTGGTATCATACCATGGCCAATCAACAAGTGAGTTTCTTTTCGTTCCCCTGTAAAAATGTATTATCTGGGTGTAGTTCATTCATTTCATTTCATTTCATTTC